ATTCCCAAACGGTCATCCTGATTGACAAAATCCGGGACAGCCATCCTGACCTCCTGGGTGAGCGAACCTATAAATAGGACGTCATTTCTCCCATTTTCACACACTTTCTCACACTCTCTCATATTTTGAGACACTTCTGAGCATTTTTATGCACTGTTCCAGAGGTCCGAGTAGTCTTTCCGATAGTCCATTTGGGCAAAATCGGTTAAGGAAGTGTCCTTTTGAGACATCCAGCTCTCAGGAGTTTAATAATTTTATTGTTCGAGGGAGGAGTGTTCTTGTAGAGCGAGGGGACTACCAAAAAGCGTCCTCAAGTTTGAAGATTTATAAAAAACTGGCTTCGGAGGTTCTTTTTCATTCCTTCTCTTTTATCGCTTTCCTTTTATTGCTTTTTCTTTATGTGCATTAGAGATTAAGGTCATGTAGATATTTAAATACTGCAAGTAAATAAATAAGGTAAAGACATAATTTCTAGAATCTTTATTTTCTGAATTAATCTGTCATAGGGAACCCGAAAGGGCGTTGTAGGGTGTTAACATCTTTCCCACACGTAACTAATTCCCTTACCCAATTCTGGTTATAATGACCAAAGTTGGTTTTTCTAAACCAACGCCTTTTCTTTTTCCTTTTCCAATGTTGATGGTTAAAACATTGGTGACGACTCCATAAGAACCCATTTTTATGAAAACTTCACTCTTAAAGGTAGTTCGGTTATCGAGCATCCTAAGAGTGATGACCACATTTTAGAAAAATACGAGTCACAAACCAGCTCAAATTTAATAATTCATGCCTTAATAAATGGATTAAGGCGAGAACAATTTTTGGATAGTATATATATGGATTATCCAGAATTTGTGAAAGAATTAAGAACCCGAGCTTCCCAATTTATATAATTAGAAGAAGACATTGAAATTAGAAAGAAAAGAGATTTTCAAGAGAAAGAAGGCTCCTCAGCGCACATATATTGTTCAAACAACAAACATAAAAGAGAAGAAAGGAGATTTACCCCACTTAACGCTAGTGTGGAAACAGTTCTATGTGAAACATATAATCTAGAGCTTATCAATTTACCCAAGCCAGTTAGTACATCAGATGCAAATAGATTTAAGCGTTGCGTGCGGCATTGGAATTACGGTCATAGCACAGAAGAATGTAAGAGGGTTCGAGAAGTTATAGAAGACCTCGTTCGAGCCGAAGTCTTAGATAGATTTATCCAACGTTCCAAGCATGATAAAGGATATAGGTCGGATAGAGGATATCGTACTCGGGGGCGAGACCGACATGGAGATTGGGACCGAGAAAGAGATTATCATCAAGGAGATGGGTAACCTAATGCAATCCATCCATGGGATGATCAAAATGAAGGACAAATCAAAGGTACTCTCAACATTATAATTGGTGGCTTTGTAGGTGGAGGAAGCACAAGTTCGACTCGAAAACGTCACTTGAGAGTCATATACAATGTTAATATAACTCATGTCTTGCAGTCGAGGACTTTGCCTCCTATTCTCTCTTTTTTTATGAAGATTTCAGTTCTCATGATCCTCAATAACATGATCCTATGGTAATCATTGTTTATATTGTAAATTGGTAAGTAAAGAAGACATTAATTGACCAAGGAAAGTCCAGAGATATTCTTTATTAGTTCACCTTCACAAAGATGGGTCTCTCACATGATTTAATCTAACCATATTCTGATCCTTTGGTGGGTTTCGTGGGAGAATGTGTTTATACCTAAGGATATGTTGATCTTGTGACTACTTTCAGAAAAAGGAAGAGAGTAAAACTTTAATAGTAAGATACATTATAATTAAAGTCGATACTCCGTAGAATGTGTTAATAGGACAAAAGACTCTAAATCAACCCAGAGCTATTGTATCTACTTTTATATGGCTATGAAATTTCCTATCGAAGAAGGATGAATAATAACAATCAAGACAACCCAAAAGAGGCTAGAGAGTGTTATGCTCTCAATCTCAAATTTTGTTCTTATTCATTGAAGAAAAGAACAACATAATCTGCCAAGACAGAATCCACCCATAAAGATTTGGTTTTACATATTCAAGAGATGGAAGTAAATCCTTGACAAGAAACTATAAGTGATTAACCCAGCTTCAACAAGCCAATAATTGAGCTATATCTCAGGAGCAAGCCTGACAAATAACCCGTATTGGAGAGGTGATAAAGGTCGGGATTCGAAAACAAATTGAGGATATACTTCATCAAAATACTGATTTGTTTGCATGCAGTGCGACCGACATGTCAAGTATTGATCCTAATTTTATGTATCATAAGCTTACTATTTCATCGAATACAAAACGTATTGATCAAAGAAAAATAAAACTAGGTGAAGAAAGACAAGTTATATGCAAGAAATACAAAAAAAAAAAAAGTAGAAGAAAAGTAAAACTCAAAAGTTAAAGGAAAGAGATAGAGAAAAGGAAACAAATTTGATTCAAAGCATATCAATTTGATAAACTTCAAAGTATAACTCGTACAAGATAAAAAAAAATAAAAAATGGAAATTTATTTTAAGAACAAGTGTCAAAAAGAAGAAGAGAAAACTAGAGATGAAACTCTATTCTAGATCTAGAACGAAGCTAAATTAAATATAACTTCTATCTTTTGGCTTTTCCAAACATTTATATACAACAATGAAGCAATTAAATTGTACAAGGCTCATACAAGGCCTAGAAAAAATCTATTACATCATTTGGAGTTTGGTTCGTAGTGAACCTTTAATAGTTAAAACTTCTTTTCTTCTTTAATTTATCATTGATGCACCAATATATAATTAATTAATTTAAAAATATACAATTTACTCAATAAATTAGATGCAAAACTATTTATTTTCCTTTCACTAAAACTATGTGAATGATAATTAATTAATTAAATAACCTAATTATATATTAATAAAAACATGGATAAAATATATTCATTATATATGATTTATATGCACCACCTTGAGGGAAGTGTTAGAAATAACTAAACATATAAGCTAAAACTCATCTCTTTTTGTATCATAATATTTATATATTTTTGTTTATCTGTTATGCATAATACACACATGAATTTTATTCATATGTCTTTCAACCATTTACCTTTTTATGGGAATTTTTATTTGTGTATGTATATTTTTATATATATGAATTATATTTCATGTGAGTATGTCTCCATCTTCTATTCATGTACTCATATACTCTATATGTAGAGTAAAATATGATAAAATATTAAATATGAACAATATCTCAATCATAACTACCTAAATCAAAATAATATAACCTAATTTTTTTCTCTTATTCTAAATAATAATAAAAAATATTTTGATACCAAATTTAAATAAAAAGATAATAAAACATATATTCCTAACATTCCTCCTTATTTTAATATTTGTTTATTTGAATTTGATATTCTTTATTTTTTTTCTTATTTTTTTCTCTTCTTTTGCTTGTAATTCTTGTTATTCTTTCTTGTATGAGATCACATTTTCATTCAATTTTGTTATGGCACAATCATTTTTTTCCTTTGAAATCATTTGCAAACAAATTTTTTTCTTAGGATGATATTTCTTTTTTTCTGCACTAACAATATTCCATTTAGCCTTTAACATGTTGAAATTTGTTTTCTTGATCTCATTCCATTTATCTTGTGATAAATACTTCTTCAGCTTAATTCAGTGGTTTTGTTTTCTCATCGGGTCCAATTTTTTTGACAGACAACATGTGACTTGGTTGTCGTTTGGGACACGGGATCAATCTTCTTTTTAAGAGGGGGAAAATCCTCTTTATAAGATATAGGGTTAATCATCATACATGGAATATGAGTAACAATAGAAGAGAGCATGGTAGAGGTTCTGCACTTGTCTTGTCTTGGAAAAAGGAGACATTATTCTTTCGAGGATCTCAACATATTATTTGTATTTCCACAAAGGATCTGTTTTTTTTTTTTTTTGCGATGGAGTCTAGTCCAAGGACCTTTTTCGGGTCCAAACCTTTTGTTTGGAGACAAAAGAGAGTTACATTATCTTCCTTTGTAGTCATCATCCTCATCCAAGTTATCATCCTCGTCATTGGAATTTCCAGTGTAATTATAACAGACGTAGTCAGAGTTACACATCTCATATGAAATGTCTATTAATCTTGTATGTAAAGATATGCTTTCCGTCAAGAAATACCTTTGCAATAGGAATTTTACCTTCTTTAGTTACAGACAATATCATCATTGGTAGAGAATATCATCATTGATTAGAATATAAAGTTACTTGAAATTGGGACATCTTCAGGACTTTTTTAAATGGTTTTTATGGTACCATATACGAGATGATCTTCGAAAGTAATTTCAATAAACTGAATTTGTTTCGGTTGATGTGAAACTTTTCATAACTGAATTTGTTTCTGGTTGATGTAAAACTTTTCATAATTAGTGACCCAATGCATCGAGATAAGTTTTTGTAGTTTCTATTGGACAATATTTCTAAGAATCTCAATTATAAAAGATGTTTCATCTTTATTATTGGTAGAGATGAATAGAATTTCATCTTTACATGAAAATAAAACAAAATTTATGATATAATCTTATAGTCTATAAATTATATGATGATAAAAAATTATCAATAATGCATCAATTACTTGTTTAATTTCTATGATTTGAATCTAAACCTTGAATATTTGAGATATGATAAAATCTTTCAAATTCACATTGAAGTTTAAAAAAATTTACTATGTATAAAACTTTAATTATTAAATAATAATAATAATAATAATAATAATAATAATAATACATGAGATAAAATATTATGTTGTACATAAATCACTAGCATATAACATAAACAAATACTCAAAATAATATCAAAATCATGGAAATATAAGTAATAACTATAAATGTTTAGATCTTGCAAAAGTTAACGCAAAAACACATGTTCGGGAGGGAAATTTGTCCCCTTCTTTATAATACATCTAGCAAGATCCTCAGGCATGTACAACAATGTTTCAAACACAATATTATCTTCTCTTTCTCCCACCCTTTCCAGATTTGTTGGAAGGTCCAGTAGTTGATGTTGATGCAGTCTCCTGCTTCTTGGTCCTTCCATGATGTCTAGGTACCATCTCTGCAACCCGTAACATTAGTTGCTTTCCTGCAAAACAATCATACCAAAAATGAAAATATGAGAATTTTTTAATAGTCATTGTGTCTATGCAATTATAGGAGGATAATTTTCTCATCAATTTGACGTGGGATGTTTACAACAAAAAATAAACAATAAAATTGCTTCTGTATTGTGAGAGGCATTAGTTTGGATCCAGAATTTGTAAAGGATAATTCATTTTTATGGAGAATTTGAGATATTTTATAACAATATATATTGTTTGGAAAGGAAATTTGAAAGAAATTGAAATATTAGAATTTCTAAAAGTAATTTGATTACTTAAAATTGGAGAATCTGAAATTCCACTTAAAAAATAAGAATTTAAAATTCTCCATTTTATCTCCTATCTCAAATTTATATCTCTTCTTATCATACTCTCTCCTTGATTTAGTCTTGAATAAGATATCTTGGAATCTTCTGCTCAACTTCACTCAGACATGTCATTGGTTGGTTTGGTATGGATAAGCCTGACTTGAATAGGATAAGGTGGGTTTAGCCTAACCAAGTCTAGCACAACCTAACATAACTTGACCAGACCTATCTTGGCATGATCCAATCTAATGCAACCTGCTTTAGAAGACTAGGTTTGTCAAGACCTGCCCCAACTTGACCCATTTTGTCATCCATTAGCAGCTTGACCCCAATAAGCTCTTCTATCCTAACCAAGCTTAACCCATTCCATCCCAAATAAGCTTGTCCTGCACAACCAAGCTTGACCCGAATAAGCTCTTCTATCCTAACCAAGCTTAACCCGTCCCATCCCAAATAAGCTTGTCCTGCACAACCAAGCGTACCTCGTCGTGTCCTAATCCATTCCAACTCATCCCGTCGATCCAACTTGTCCCAACCTGTCTTGACCTGACTTGGGACCCAACCAATTTCAGTATGGGTCAATTTCGGAGTTATCAAAGAACTTGTTTAACCCATCTTTTAATCGCTAACCTCTACAACATATAAATTAAAGTGAACAAAAAGTAAAATTATATTTGTCAAATATTAATGCTTTGAGGTGAATATATATTGTTGTTCTAATATAAGCAAGTGCTAACAGATCTTAATTGCAGATTTTGAAAATGCCAGTCATATTGATGGATGTGAAGAAATGGAATATATATCAAGACGAATGAATAGAATTATAAGATATATGCCTTTTATAATTATATTGATTCCATGAGATATTCCTTGTGCAATTAAACATTAGAAAAGTTAGTGTTAGTGCAAAGAACATGAGCAACGAAACACCATATGGAGTCCAACTAATGTTGCCTACCCAACATTTGGGTTTGCGATCAAGTAGTTAGTTCAGTTAATTAATTCACTAAACTACACTATTACATAAGTTCAGTTAGTGGACTGTTATGACAAAAAAAAAAAAAAATTGAAGAGTAATTTTATTTGTAAATAGTTCATCTACTAATGGTTTAATGCAATTCAGTTATAGTTTAGTTCACAGTTTATAATTTTCTTAACAGGCCTATCTACTATGAGCACTGAAGTATATTCTTTCATACTGTGTGCTAATACTATAATCTTTTTTAGGTGTTAATTATTCTATTGTTAACCGAGACCTTGGCATAGTTCCAGCAAAGCACATCCTCCAGAGCCATAAGGTTTTGAAGGCAATGCAGATGTTGGGGCTGGTCAAACTCCTCAACTGTGGTTGCCTCGCATTAAGGAGGTCGAGGTCAACAGAATTACTGTTAAGGTCAAGAATTTTGATACTTGCTTGATCTACAAACCTCCTCCATGTTCTCACTGCTCAATTTGTAATAACTGTGTGCAAATGTTTGGTCACCATTGTTTCTGGGTTGGGCAGTGCACTGGGCTGGTAAGTTAGACCTTTTGTTTGACAAAACTAATTTTTAATTGTTAATCTGATCGGCAGAATTTTCTACGCCAAACAGAAAGATTGACTTGGTATCTGAGGTGAGTATAATCTAATAGATGTGAAATTTGAAGAGATGAATGATCCCTTTTGTAAGCTTGGAACTTGTTGGGATAGTCCATATTTTGTAAATGGGCTGCACTGGAAAATCTAGCATGTTATAGTAATTTGTCAAATTACCAGCATGTTATAGGATTAGTTGCAACAAGAGTAAGACCAGGTGCAATGGAGGACGAGGAACCTCCCATGTAGGTGTATTTTATTAGCCATCCATTTGTCTCGAATGAGTAGAGGATGTGGTGTTGTCATGTCATTGTTAGCGCAAAACATTTTGTAAGTGTCAACAACAGTTAAGATGAAAATTATCAAATATCAAAATAGGATGAAGCGATCAAGAATAGGAGAGGAGATGGAACTTTCTAGCGGGTGAGAAAGAAAGATAAAACATTCTATCCCACACCATAGCAATGTTTTAAGCCAACTTGTGAGGATGGATTAACTTCACTTGAGAGTGGAGCCAAGCCAATGATGGATCAAAAATAGTTGATCTTGGAGTTGTGGTGGACCAAGGGTAGTTTCACATTGGCAAAAACAATTTCCAACGATGATGATAGGATCAAGAGGTGAACATTAAAACGAATATGCATGTCTAGCAGTTGAATTCTAGACATATATATAGGTTTAAGTAATCTACCATTTGCCAGGAAATACAGTTTCAATGTCTTCAACCCTTTTTGAAACATTGAAAAGGTTTTGGAAAAAAAAAAACAGATGATTATAAATTGAAAAACAATCTGATTGAAATGAGTAAACTAACATATTCGTTCTCACATTTCCGATGTTGTTTTTTCCCACATATTAGGCATGGTTTTCAGAAGCTAACAGTAATAACTTATGCATTCTACATGTGATTTTCTATTCTCAACATGTTTTTAAACATCCTATACAAGGGTTCAGCTCAGTTTGAAACATATTTTATTCATAGTTTGACAGAAATGTATTGCAAATTATCAACATGACTTGAAAGTTTGCTATATACTTCTCTTCCATACCAACTAGCTCCAAAGTATGAGTTTCGAAACATATCAATTTAAAGTATAGTTACAGCACAGGGATACTAACATAACGAGATCTGATTCAAAGCAACATACTGATTGAACTTCATTTATATATATAAATTTGAAAAATTAAATCTTACTGGACGAGATTGAGGGATTATAGAATGTCCCATCCTCCTTCTTCAGCAACACCCTCACCCGCCCTCTTTGCATGAAATCGCGAGGATACGCCTTGTCTATCTGCAATTTTTCATATAATAATAAATTTCGCAGTGGTTTAACAGAGGGGAGTAAAAAATCCAAAATTAACTTACCTCAATTGCATAAGGAAGCTTGAGATAGCTACAGCAATCACCGATTTCGGCACACATGGGGTTTTCGCAAGCTTTGGCGACCGCGATGCGTCTTCCTTCAGCCATCGTTTTTTTGGAGTTAATGTAAACAGGATACAACACAATCCATTTTTTTATGTTGGGCAATTCGGTAGCCTCCATGGTTGGCAGAAGCGAACACTCAACACTGAATCTCTGCTTTGCTTCTGCGATCGCACCCTCCCAAATGAGAAGAAGGTAGAGCGAAGCCGACGAAGCACCTCGATAATGGCCAGCCCAATCGGACTCACCATCCCCTGGCCCATGAGTATATAAAAATAATATTATCTTTTTATTGCACCGCTTTGTTACTAACGTCACCCTCATTTTTGAAAACCATTTTAGAATTAATAATCTTTGCTATAATTAGAAGTTTTTTTCTAATAAATCATTAAATAATAAATTAATAAAATAATTTTTATTATTAAAATTCCTTCAGTCTTTATATATAAGTTGTATTTTATTTTAATAATAATATAAAAAATTACATTTTAATAATAATTTATAAGATTTATATAAATGAAAAATAAATATAAAAATAAAATTAATTTTTAAAATTATATTTTTATTTTTTAAAATTATAAAATTAAACGAAAACCTCCTTTTTTTGAAACAACAAATTTATTATTCTACATTGTTTTCATATTCCAAACCCCTCCCCAGCTCAACTTAATTTCTACTTTTTGTTTTGATTTTTTTTTACACGTTGATGGCTGAAGGGAAACATTTTTTCTAGTAACTATATACAATGAAAACACGATTATTTTGGTAAGTATACGTATATCATATGAAAACGCAATTCCAGTTTATATTCGGACCAAATGTAAAATAAACATATGTTTCTATTTTACATTTCAAACAACAATTTATTTGTTTTCTTATCATTGGTAATTTTAAATAATTTTTAAATTTTATTAATATATTTTGTAATATTTTATCCCCTACATTTTTGTTTTGTTTTGTTAATTTTATATTATATTTTAATTGTTGTGATATACTTATTTGATATTATATTATAATATATTTATTATCAGTTTCGTCTATTATTATTATTATTATATAATTAAGAAAACTAAATATTCAACCATTTAAGAATATTTGACCTGATATGAATATTCTCGTTACCGACATTTTAAAAGTTGAAATTTAATAAAATTAAAGTATTGAAAATTGAAAGATAAGAACTATAAAATTTATGAAAACTTTGAGGTAAAAAAAAAAGTAAATTGATATAGAAATTTTATAACTTACCTTTTAAAACTCTTCTCCATTTTTAAGATAAGAACTTCTATTTATACTTAAAATAGAATATATTAGCTATGATATTTTTAAGTACAAATAATTGATGAACATCTTTAAATTTTTTTCATACTTTTAAGATTAATTTTTTTTATAAATATCATCTTCTTTGAGTTTCATCATGTTTTAAATATTTCTTTAGGATAAACATCTTTATTTTGATCTTTAAACTTCTTTGTCGCATTATGCCTTAATTGCTTTTGGGAATCTAGGTTTTTTTTACTTTAATCAAATATGTCAAAGAGATTGAAATGATTGTTACTTTTTTTGAGTCGGATTTTTCTATATTTGATCTTGATCTTATCATTCTTTCTACTTCGTCATTAAGATAGTTGAAGCAAGTTTTACCATTAATTTTTTCTTTTTCACGAAAAATAATGACTCTTTCATGAGTTGAGAAACCTCTTCTTCTTTCCTTTGTCTATTGTTTTTTAACCATTCATCAATCTTGACTTTACTAATGAGATCAATATTGAATCTTTTCCACAATTTAATTTTAATTTTTTTGGCCAACATCTTGATGTTAACTTTATCTTATGTTTGTTCTATAGTATAATCTCATGTAAGTATCCAAGTAATCAATATGAAATTAATCTATATCATTGGACAAATGTGGATATTTCTCTATAATAAGATAATACTTCATTTACCTTGATAAGAAATATTGACAAAAATGGTCCGAATTCTAAAAATTACTTAATGAGCCATTTCAAAAATTTTAAAGAGATATATTTTTTGAACCATATAAACCATGAATAGTTTACCTGGGTTTACATATAGAAAATGGGACCATAGTTCCATATAATCATAATAAGTATAGTATTATAGTAAAAAAGATCTAGTAAATGATTTATTTTGTGTAAGGATTAATTCTAGTATGGAGGATTTAAAACTTGTAATATTTTTAGCTTAGAAAACTTAATAATGTCTTTTCTATCTTTGGTATGATAGACTTCAACAAAATTGGTGTCTATTAATATGTATTCATAAAAGGTTCTATTTTTTTAAGTTTATTGGAGGGTAATGGAAGTTTTCAAGGAAAAGGTTATTGAGTATTAGTTTTGCTAAGGATTGGACCCATGCATTTTCTAAAATTAGTATTGGTTGAATGCTTGGTTTCTCTGTATATTCATCACATGGAAGGTCTTGAGGATTTTGAGCAGATGGTGTAAAGTCTTTGGGTCCAATAAGAATATTATGGTATTGAAGTGGGGTAAATTTGTTGGAGGTTGTGACTAATGGATTCTTTGAAGAACTAGATATTGTCAAAGGAGTTTTAACTATTTCTACCAAAGTGGTTAGGCATGGCAACGGGCGGGGTGGGGGCGGGTTTTGCCTCCCGATCCCCGCCCCGACTTTTTAACCATCCCCATCCCCGCCTCCGATCCCCACGGGTTAGAAATTAAGTTCTCATCCCCGCTAGGTTTCGAGTTCCCGTCTCCGCCTCGTCCCCGATTTATATTATTTTTAAAAAGATAATTACATTTATAATGAATTAATTTTACTATCTATTTTTTATATATAAATAAATATTTATAATTTATAATTATTATTAATTAAATATACATTTTAATTTATTATATTTATATTAAAATGTGTATGTAAAAGAAATATTTTATCATTTTTTATTTATAATATTATTATTATTATAACACTGTATTCAAATATTTGAATATTTATAACACTATTATTATAATACTGTATTCAAACATTTGATTATATATATAAGTTAATTCATTTTTAAGTTGTCATTTTAAAATATGAAATATATTGTTTATAAGAAAATATTTAATAAGTTAATTCTTATTTAATTAGTTTGAAGTAATAAAAATTTAAATTATCAATTCCTTTAATCCTTTAAAATATAATTATTTTATTAAGATAAAATTTGATATATGATAAATAAGAATAATAAGATAAAAAAAATATGACATAATAAAACCTAATAAATATAAATTATAAATAAAATAATATTAGTTACTACTTTATGTAAAATATTTAGAAAAAGATAAAGAATAAAAAAAATTAACTTTGTGTTCATCAAATTGGTTGAAAAGATTGAAAAAAAAATTGATGGGAGAGATTAAGGAGATGTGAAAAAGCTGAAAGGTAAGAGAAAGAATAATGTAATAAATTAATTGATATAAAAGATTAAAAAAGATAAAAAAATTAAAAAGTGGGTAGAAGAAAAAAATTTGGTGAAATATAAAAAAAGACCTTATATGTAAAAAAGAAAAGGAAATACTTTTAGAATATTAATATTTTAAAATTTAAATTTAAATATAAAGTCGGGCGGGGACGGGGACGAGGTGGGGATTGCATTACCCATCCTCGCACCCGCCCGACTTTTAAAGCGGGAAAACCCGAACCCGACCCGTCCCCGGTCAACTCGGATTTTCCCAGTCAAATTCGAGGCGGGGACGAGTCCGTCCCCACGGGGACGGATTTAATTGCCATGGTTAACACTTTGAATGGAGGATTTTTTTTCACTAGTTTAGTGAAATTTTTGTAAGTTACTTTTCGTGTCTTCGACATTTTCGTTCAATGAATTGCTCCTCGTTGAGTGAATTGGAAATTCGTGTAATGATGTTTCTACCAATGATTCACTCAATAAATTTCCTCTATGTTCAATGAATTCTTTAAAATAAATCTTTATATTTTTCTATTTATCATTCTTACAAAAACAAATAATTAATTAGTTAAAATATATAATTTAAAACAATAAATTAGATACAAAAATATTTATTTCCTATTTATCATAATTGTGTTAAAATAAATAATGAAATAATAATTATGTAACTAATATAATAATAAAAACATTGATAAAATGTATTTATCAATAGACTTGGGATCTTGATTAGGCATGCTATGTAAAGATAAGCATTGGCGTGTAACATGGAAAGATGATTTGCATATCCCACACATTGCTCAAACCAATGGAAAATTTTACTTTTGTATGGTTTGTGGTTGAAAATGTGCTTAAGCTTGTGATTGAGCCAAATGTTTGTTAAACATGGTGTTCTCTTGAAGAATAAGCTTGAAGATGATTTGATGAAGTCAAAGCTTGTGTGAGGGTTTATTCGTGTTGTCATGGGTGTGTGGACCATATAAAATTTGTAAGCATAATCTCTTCCTTGATTGATCACACTTAGAGTTTTTTTATGAAAACCTCTTAATAAAAATGGTTTCTTTGAAAAGTACATTTTTAATATGTTAAAAATTAATTTAATATGTTAATATATTCTTGAATCACATTTTTAATGGGTTAAAAAGTCATTTTAATCAATTAAATTCATTAAAACCCAAAAACTATGAGTGCTTCAAATTTTAAAACGAATTAAAATGTTCTTGATGAGATTTGAATAACTTGTGGTTCACACATTTAATATGTTAAAATAAATTTTAACAAATTAAAGTGCTTTTAGGGATCAAAATATGTTTTCAAGGCCTCACTGTTTTTATTTGTTAAAAGTTGGTTTAATGGATTAAAACTTTCTTGGGTTCTTCAAGTAAATTTGTGAGAAGTTCTTTTAATTGATAATTTTGTTTACTATGTTAAAATTTAACATGAGTCTAAGGGAGATTTTAAAACTCTCTGTTTTTATCTATCAAAGAAGTTTGAATTTAGATAAATTTTGAAGCTCATTGTTTTAATCAATTAAAAATGTTTTAATATGGTAAAATAAAAGTCTGAATTTAGAGAAATTTTGAAGTCTCTTTTTTAATCTATTAAATTATTTTCAATATGTTAAAATCATTCAAAACCTTTTGAAGCTTGGACTAAACATTTTATTTTAATCAATTAAAAACTCAAATTAATTGATTAATTCATCTTTCAGTAAAATTAATTTATTAAAATAATATTTTAATCAATTAAACTTATTAGAACAATCTATATAATAGTTTGATTTCTTTCATTTCAAGCCTTTGATTTTTAATCAACCTTAAAGAAATTTCAATGCCTACTTTTGAAATTATTCAATACTCGTTCTAACTATTTTTCTTAATGTATTTTCTATTAATCTTGATTATGTTCATTCACAATTGAAATTGGAAAATCAAAGATTTTCACTTGATTGGTAATTTTGTATTTTCTATTCAAAAAAGTTCTCAAATGATCTCTTTCTGATTTTTTGTAATTCTTGTGTACTAGTCAGTATCTATGATTGTGATTCATTGATACTGGTTATTTATTGATAACTCAAAATTGATCACTATTGTTGTAAAAGAGTGGTTCAAGAAAGTTCTTTCAGTAGATAGGTTTATTTTTACTAGTTGTAATTGAATTTGAGTTTTTGTAGAACCTTTAACTAGTGTGATTAAAGAGAAATCGAATGTAGTTCAAGATTTAAATAAGTCATTATAAATCTTTTATGTTAATTTCCTTGCCTCTTTACTCTTTAAATTCATTATTGTATTCTTGATTAATAAACACTTAAATAATCTTTCAATTATAAAGTGAAAAAGAGACATTATTATTTCTAATACTTAAATTTGTTTTTAAAAATATTCCAAGTTCAATTCATCCCTTCTTGAACTCCACCATTAATTCTAACAATGTTTCTTCACCAATATAAGATTATCAATTTTATTCTCAAGTTAATGCTCTATAGAATAACCAATTTAAACTTAAAAAATGTTCCAATAATTGTGTTTCCTCTTGTATAAAATTGTTTTGATTTAAATGAGGTAATTTTGTAAAATATTATTTTTCTTACATTTTCACTAATATACAAATATATATATATATATATATATATATATATATATATATATATTACAATAAAAAATAACATATTTATATATCACTTTCTTTGCTTATAAACAAGAAAAATATTTTATTTCCACTACGTGTACTAATCATCTTCCACTCTCACTATCAATGAAGAAAGATACGCGTCAAGAGTCATAAACCAGGCTTTCTTTTGGGTCTTGAATGGGTTGGCCCATTGTGAGGAACCTGAGTAGTAAACGAGGTTTTTTTTGAGTCTTGAATGGGTTGGCCCACTATTAGGAACCCAAATCTTACAAAAGTTAATTATGTCCACTAAAAAAATAATTAATGTTACTCATTATTGCGGTTATCCAAGTAAGAATACACAAAATTGTGACTTACAAACACTACATTTTGAATGTAATGGTTCGTACAACATTTTTCTTTTTCTTACAGTGATTTTTAAGAGAATTGCCATCAATGGTGCCAAGACCAGATAATCTGACGCCATAAGATGCAAGACGGTTAATATCCCTTGGAATTGGAGACTGCCAAAGACCGTCCCACCAAGCAGAAGGGAGAACTGGTGTGAAGGCACATTGATTTGCCTGGTTGCGACAACTCAATGGACCTGCATATCTGTTCCAGACATGGCCCCACCCACCCTGATTCCTTAGGCCATCGCTTAACAAATTACTCTGGAAACTGCTAAAGAATACTAACTTTGAACCAGACTTGTCCCCTGAAGAGTAAAGAATTTTCATGTTTTAGCTGTCTGCATGTTTCAAGAAAATTCATCCTAACATGCAGGGTCAGTCCAAAGGTAAGGCACCTAAGAGTTTTAGACTAACAACAAAAGTATATGCCATATAGGTTTTATAAAAAACAAGTACGTAGGCAGAAAAGTCTAACTAAGATAATAAGTCTCTTTCAAAGTCTGTTTTACCATTGGACTGATCCTGCTGCAACCATGACTTACAAGAATAAGTAGCGTAAATAGCAAGAAATACCCAGATTGTATGCAGCTGCCAGTGCAGCAATTAATTGAGCATATGTAGTCCCGACACGCCGGTGAGCTCCAGAAATGACAGCATATTTTGCACGGGATGCAAGAAAAAAATCGACAAACGCAACCCATCTAGGCGCAGAACCCCAATCCTTCCTTCTAAAATCTGAAATGCGCAGACCTTTAGACATACTTCCTCTGAATTGGGCATGATCAAAATGAAGAACCTGGGGGCAAGAAGATATGACCATAATCAAAGACCCACAAATTTTACAGCAGTTATTAGTTGGTTCATGCACCACCGTAAATTAAACAACAGGTTGGATAATGAAGCAATAAAGCATTTAACAAAGAAGAGTGGCTATATTGAGAATAGAATGTAGCCAGTTCTTAATATAAGGCAATAATTTCGTTGTTAACAAGTAATAATTTTTCTTTTGGGAGCGTTTCCATCTACACATTAATACGAGTATTTGCCTGTGGTTTAGCTCATTCATGCGGGTTACCTCGGAAAATTCACTTATGTTAGACATGGACATGATACTTTTAACAACAGCAGGCGTATCTGACACCAAAACCACCTTTGGTCTTGCTGACATTAGATGTTGACTTCGTATGGCTTTTTTCAGGCAACGCAACACTGCCTGCACAGCCCTTCCAGACCTGAAAAAGGGATTGCCGAAACTGAATTCGTCATTTAAACCCATATTCAATGTGAAGTTTGGCAGTTGCTACACACAATAAAGAAAATGTTTTTATGCTACATGCATCGTTTTCTTTTTCTAACATACTGCATGGATATTTGGCATCAACAATGAACATAAAAGAAATGCTAGCAAGTTGTAACACAATGCACGCTCTTCCTTATTAATTTGTCAAAAAATCTGTGGGTCTCACATTTTATTTAATGATCATCTCATGATTTTGTAATTTAATAAATTTGTACAAATGGCTAGGCTTACCTTCGTTTGCTTTCTGTTTTTAGTATTTGTACTAATATCCTACAACATTGCAGAGGCTAAATTATTTGACATCTCTGGAGTAAAATATTTACGTAAATAAGGCTTACAGAACTGGATGAATGCCAAATAAAAAGAGGACAGAAGAATGGAATGAAAACCGACATGATACCGAATTGAATTGGCAATATAACATATCATTTGGCTCATCATGTCAGATATTTTAATTTAACTTTCCAAAAGTAGTAAAAAGTAAAACTATTTTAAGATTGATATCAGAAATTTATTCAATTAATTCCTCAATCAAGTATTACTATTCCCACTAAAATAACGCATACTTCCAATACCTATTCATAAGCATCCGCATATGCACTGAAATGTCAGGATTCTCCCCACCACCAATGGCCCAATTTACAGCAGCTTCAACATCTTCTGAAGGAGATATGAGAACCCTCATGAGCTCGCCAAAAACATTCGGTCGTAAACCTGGAACTTGTGGGTCACCAAACAAATCGAAAGCAGCAGTCCTCATCTGAGAATGTATATTCTTTAAGAAAAACTGTGCCGGCACCGAATCAGTAGTGCCTTGAAACCTAAAACATTAAGTTTATGCTCTTTTATGATGCTTGTGAGACTAATAATTTAACAAAAATATTTTCACCTTACCATATGATAGGTTGCTTCCATTTCTTCCAATTGCTACAGAGAACATTTGATTCTACTGGTTTACTAAAATCATCAATTCTCATAACCAGTCCCCTCCCATATTTGCTTTCACAACCCTTGTGTCTCCACAAATGCTTGATTTCTTTCACCGTAAAAGTAAAGTTGGAATAAGAAATGTAGTCTCCAAAAGGATATTTTCCTCTGAAATGTAACAAGAAGATATCAATCAGAAAATGAAAGACAGGACCATGTTTTATGACAATATTTGTAACAGTGTGGTCTAGCAAGTTGGGATTCTCTCTGATAATCAAAATTATATTCAGACTACTTTTACATATTGCTTTAAAAGGCTAGTTCCTTCGTTTTATAGAAAGCTCATTATTTTTTCTCATTTCAAAATTCCTTGACATCTTTCATGTTATCTTGTTCAGCCAACCAACTAACTTAATGGTCACACCAATTACTGGTTCACTGTCCTGACCAATTATAACAACAATGATCCGTAATTGATTCAAATATGCTATCTTTCGCCAGAGCAGAGCAGTTTCACAACTACATCAATGGCACAATGGCATTAGTTTTCAAATATGGATTGTCTCCAAAAGTGATTGAAAATAGGTTGGTATATTCAATACGTTATAACTTAGCACACAAAAACCGAGTCTAATCCAAAATACTAGTCAAAAAATTCTTGCACAATTTATGCTTTAAAGCTACAACAGACATTCGTATAAGAGCCAATAAACATGGACGCTCAATAATTTCAGTTGACAGAAAGAATGTAGAAGTTCTTAAAGTGATAAAGAAACTAAGAAAGGCTTGAGAAAAAACTAATATGCCTGGTTTGACCAATGATCAAGGAGCGGTTTAACATTACACTAAGCGCTGCCGCAGTTAAGACCTTGTACATTTCGTTCCCAAAACCCGCCTCAGATGTCTTCCCAAGAACAAAGCCATGTCTACAGAACTTCTCTGGGGGCCAATCTCTGACTATTGAAGCACCTGAAACAAAATAAAAAACCATCTTCTAATCTAACACGATAACACCATCCTCCACAGAAGTTCATGGAGTGTATGTATATTATACAGTTTCACCCAACTAATTATACTCAGAGGAGCACACCCACTAAATATTTTCATAAGAACAGAAGTTGCAGTAAGTATAGAGAAAGAATTTTGCCTGTAAAATAAACGAATATATATCATAATTAGCGTACCACAAACAAGTACATAACTTAGACTGCATTAATAATGGTTGTTGGAGATCCCATATCATCTATGACCAAATTATAGTATAAATTTGAATTCAATCCTTCTCTTCTCTATTAATTCGATTACATAGGTTTGAGGTAGGTGAAACTCGCTTTTTAAGAAGTATCAAACATTTTTCTCAAAATAGATTGCCGCTCAATTCCTAAATGTCAATGCTCCAAACAAAATAACATCTCTTAAAATAATTTCCTATTTACATGCACCAACGAAACTTCATATATGTGCTCAAAAAAGCATTAGTTGTCATACATTGCATGCATACTCATACATTTTCTCTGTACTGCTACATGTATCTTAAATTGTAGATTCAATTCCAATCGAGAATATCCAAAACATGTTGTGTCTAACTTTCCTACAGGGAATTTTTACCATACAAGAGAAACACAAGACTCGAATTGAGCCATTATTTTAAGGAAAAATCATGCAGGCGCCATTTTAGTGCACAAATTTGACACCTCATATCAGGACCAAATAAGTTTTGTTATTATTTAATTTAATCCTATGCAGCAGTCCAGCGTTAAATTATAAAAAGTTTTTAATGTAAGAAATAAGTATATTTTGTTTAAGTTATTTTTTAATGGAATAAAATCCTTTCTAACATTTTTTTTAATTCCTCCCGATATATGAATGAATTGAAAAATCACAGTAAGTAATAATAATAATAATAATAACAATAACAATAATATTATTATTGTACATCTTAAATACTCTTTTACTTGTTCTTTGGTTTAAGTTATTTTTTCGAAGTCTAAAATATTTTACTCTAACTTCTTAGATCGCCCGGTTCTCATACAAAGTTGGTGCATTGTTGTCCTGTTAATGTGATAAATTGATGGAAAATCTAATTTAGTTTGATAATCCCTCAGCCAAAATTAATGAGATTAAATTAACACGGTTGATATAGCAAATTGAAGAAAAATATTAGTTTAAGGCACCCAAGTAAAACTATAAAAACTAAGATGAGAGAAAAATAAAATTAGCACAATAATAATATTAACATCTGTATTTAACAGAGCATAAAGCGGAGGTTAAGAAAATGGGAAGTACCATTGGCAACGAAATGATTTTCAATAATCTTTCTCACTCTCAGAGATTCTCTCCCTACTCCTCTTCCGAAATCCTCCCCCATTTCCTCCACAGTCTTGCACGCCTTCCTTCCCACACGCTGAAACGCCACCACGCTCGTCCCACCGTCGGAAGAAGAACCGTTGATCTCCGAAGCTCTTGCGAAAGGCACCGCAGTCCGAGGGGCATTTTCCAAGGGCCTGAACACGAGCACCAACAGTCCCAAACCAGTCACCAATGCACACAAAATAACGAATGGTTTCGGCTCCACGCGCCTCCTCTTTCCTCCTCTGTGTCTCATTTCCCCTCGCTGACCTCACACTCAGTTGTCTGTCTCAGCTGAAACAAAGCAGTCGTGGCCTTTCGTTTGCTGATATAATTGTCGGTCTCGGGAACGGTTGGGTCGGGTGTGGACCCGAACCTTTTCGTCGTTCCAATCAGATGCCTTCAGTAATGCGCAAAACTAGAGTACTTCCTCTGGACATATATTTCAACGTGGTTTTCTCGAATCAATGTCATATTTAAAATAAAACTTACTAGCTTTATTTCAAACACAAAATTTAATAAAAAAAAAAAATTTGATAACATAAATTATTTTTTATTTTAAAAAATCAAATAATTTAAAAATGTTATAATTAATATATTATTTAAAAAAATTATTATATGATAAATTTAAGATATTATAAATATTATTATTGTTATATTATAATTATTAAAAAAATTAAATATATATTTTAAAATATTTTTTTAATAAATATTTTTTAAATTATTTTATCTAATCAATTATCATAATTCAAAATTATTATAACTAATTATTAAATAAAAAATATATTTAATTTATAGATATTTGATATTTTTTAATTAGATGAATAATGATTTATTATAATAAAATAATTTAAAATTAATTTATTTAAGTCATCTAAATAAAATTATTTCTTATTATCATAATTTTAAATAATTAATTAATATGTTATAGTTTTAATATTGTTTTAAAAATATTTTTTTTATCATATTTTTATTAAATTTTAATATTATAATTTAATCAGAAGGATAAATGAAAAAAAAGAAACAATAGCATAAAAAAAGTGACTAAAAAAAAGAAAAAATATATACAAAAATTAATAGTAAACCGTAAATAAATCTATTTTAATAAATAAATTTATATATATTTTATTTTAAGAATTTGTTTTTTAAATATATTATTCTTTAATTCATTCAAAATTAGAGAGATAAAGTATAAATAGAGAAAATAAAATAAAATTTAACGTTTTGTTTTTTCTTCTGCTACTGCTCTGATCTTCCCTTCCCTTCCCACTCCCGCCCTCTCTTCCAAGCACACAGCCATTTTTAATGATGGATTCGTATTTCAATTTCAGTTTCAGTTTTAGTTCCACCTTTCTTATTTGAGTAATTGAAGCATTGCAAGCGGTTGCAGGTCTATTTCTATTTTTCATAAACCTAATGTAGAGTAACCCAACCCTCTTCTTGTGCATCCTTTCCCACCATGACTGATTCTGACGCCAATCACAATGACGTATCTCTGGCTACCGTCGCTGATGCACCCGATGGTAACGCCTTCTAATTTATTCACCTTAATCTTTCTCATCCATCACCGTTCAGTTACCAATTTTAAGGATTCTTCTATAGGGGATATGTTAATTTTTTGTTTAGTTTAGGGGTCATTTAGGAGAAACGGTAATCCTTCAGGGATATGTTAGAATTGAGGGTTTATTCTTATATTGAATAATCTTTTGATATTTTAGTTTTTGAGACACGTTTTCTTTATTACTTTTGCTGCCTTGATCTGTACTGTTACGTCTTCTCATGGTGTACTTTTGGAATTCAGAAAATATCAACCAAATTGAGCTCATTTTTCTGTTTGTGATTTTAGATGCTGAAGAAGATGTGAAGTTGAGGTCTAGGGACCAAAGACTGGCTCTGCAAGGTGAGCCCAAGTGTGTGATATGTGGTCGCTACGGTGAATACATATGTGATGAAACTGATGATGATGTTTGCAGTTTGGAATGCAAACAAGCAGTGCTTTGCAGAATTGGCAAATCATTGGCTCCTATTGGTAGCATTCTTCCACCTAAAAAGATTCCTATAGCTGATGAATGCTTTTATGTTAGTGATGCTGATTACAAATCAGGGACTGCATCTATAGCTAGTGATCTTAGAACGAAACTTGACATTCATGTGAAGGGCGATGTCGTGGCACCAATCTTGTCATTCTCTGCCTGTAACCTCCCTGACAAGCTCCTCCACAATATAGAAGCAGCTGGGTATGACATGCCTACACCTGTTCAGATGCAAGCAATCCCTGCTGCTTTGACGGGCAAAAGCATGCTTGTTTTGGCCGGTACAGGATCTGGGAAGTCTGCTTCATTTCTTATTCCGATAGTTTCTCGTTGTGTGAGTCATCGCCGACTATATGTTTCAGATAAGAAGAAGCCTTTAGTTATGGTGTTAACACCTACCAGAGAGCTCTGTATACAGGTTGAAGAGCATGCTAAGATGCTTGGCAAGGGATTGCCTTTCAAAACTTCTCTTGTGGTTGGTGGTGAGGCCATGGCTGGACAACTCCATCGCATTCAACAAGGTGTGGAATTGATTGTAGGAACCCCAGGAAGGCTTCTTGATCTTCTAATGAAGCATGAGATTGACTTAGATGATGTGATGACTTTTGTTGTGGATGAGGTGGACTTGATGCTGCAAAGGGGCTTTAGAGATCAGGTCCTGCAGATATATAGGGCTCTGTCACAACCTCAGGTCATGATGTATTCTGCGACAATGTCTAATGATTTAGAGAAGATGATTAACTCTCTGGCAAATGGTACAGTGGTTATATCCGTTGGAGAACCTAACAGACCAAATAAGGCTGTGAAGCAGCTTGCAATTTGGGTGGAGTCAAAGCAAAAGAAGCAGAAATTGTTTGACATTTTGGCAAGTAAGAAGCATTTTAAGCCACCTGTTGTAGTATATGTGGGCTCCAGACTTGGGGCAGATCTTCTGGCTAATGCAATTACAGTTGCCACCGGGATTAAAGCAGTTTCAATTCATGGGGATAAGTCTATGAAGGAAAGGAGAGAAATAATGCAGTCCTTTTTTATGGGTGAGGTCCCAGTAATTGTGGCTACTGGAGTTTTAGGTAGGGGGGTTGATCTGCTGGGTGTAAGACAGGTGATTGTCTTCGACATGCCTAATTCCATTGAGGAGTATGTACATCAGATTGGAAGGGCATCTAGAATGGGAGAAGAAGGTGAAGGTATAGTTTTTGTTAATGAGGAGAATAAGAATGTCTTTGCAGACTTACTTGATGTACTGAAATCTGGTGGAGCAGCTGTGCCTCGGGAGCTTGCTAATTCACGGTATGCCACAGGATTTTTCTCTGGTGGGAAGGGTTCAAAGAAGAGAAAGTATACACTATGATATGTTTTTTTACTTGCTTAAATCTGGCCCTAATCTTGATGTTGTCTACTTAGAAAATTGCAATATAAAATACATGTAAATGTTATATTATTTTTTTTCATACTATAATATATCACACATTCAAATATGAAGATTTTGTGACAAAACTAGAGACCTTGTATGCTTTTGGGATTGGTAGAAAGTTTTTGGCCTATGAACAAAATCATAGTTAGAATTGGAGAAATGGACGAGATCTAACTGCTTCTGATTTTGTTTAAAACTTTCGAAGAAAAAAAAGGGCAAAATGAGTTTTGGATGGAGATGTGGTCCAAACTTTTTGTGAGCCCATTTCCGTGAATATGGTGAGAGTGGCCTCCTTGTCTGTCCTTTCTTGTGCTATAAAGTTGTCTTCTCAAATGTATGTCATGTTTTTGAGCATTGTTCTTGATGGTAAGCTTATCATACACTCTCTACACTCACCTTATATGGTTGATACTATATCCTAGGAGGCACCGCCAGCACTAGTAGAACCACACCGTGAGTCATTAATCACCACGCACAATCTACAATACAATAGAACACACATCAATTATAATTCGCATAAAACATGATTGAGAATTGATTCTGCATGACTAAAGTAGTCAAGAATCGATTATTATTTGCTGAATATCGATTCTCATAAACAGAGAATTGATTTTCCATGCATTCAATGTGAGTGAGAATCAATTCTCACTTCATGGGACCCGTAGAGAATCGATTCTATGGGCACTGAAAATCGGTTCTCTCACCCATAATCAATTTTCTCTGCCTCTCTCAATTACTGTCAACCATCAACTCACACGACACACACAAACCAAATCACTACCACGAAGAATGAGTCTAACTATGCAAATAAGGAAGTTACACGATGAGCACCACGAAAGCTCCTCTCATGACTTTTTAATGGCGAATTGAACCTTAAGCATGGTCATGGTCAAGTGGCTAGGACGAATCTTCACTAAAGCTTGCATGTGGGTGAGCAAGAATATCTGAAATAATTCCCTACATGAAAACGAATCAATACTGCCAACAATTGTTTTGGGATGTCATGCACAGTTGGTTCACATTAGAGATGGATAAGGGTAATAAGGTAAATGAACACTCGGTGATGTGTGTTTCTCGCCTCTTCTCCTCGTTCTAGCAAGGCACTTCATTCGCTTAAATAAGCCCTCGCAAATCTCTTCACATCGCTAGAAACAAACGAAAGTCGTCCTCGCTCTTCCATATGCATGAACAAGAAATCAGGAAATTCAACACAACATAAGTTCTTAATAAATATTCTTGTCTAATAATGCATGAGCATATGCGAACCCTAGTATATTATTTAGTAAAATAAATAATAAGAATTAATATAGTGATAATTTGCATGTTGACGGGGAGAATGATGAGAGTAGGAATGACAAAATGGGGTAGGTCCGAGGGGTCGGCCCGATAGCTTGCTATAATATGGTGGGGAGGGTTGGTGTTTTCAGCCCGCAGCCAGCTTCTGGCCCACCCCGTCAAACCCGTCAAATTGTCGGGCCAGCTCATGGCACACAACGAGTCAGCTCGCGACCTGTCTAATTAATAATAAAATAAATTTTTTATTGTAATATAGTTAATTATAATATAAAGTTAAAAATTGTAAAAAGAGAATTAAAAAAGTCTCCCTTTTACCCATTCTAGGAAACGTTCTCCTTACTTAAACTTAAGTTCCTCTCCTCTTCTCTTCTCTCTTTCCTCTTATCCTTATTGTTCATCATCTCTTCGTTCTTGTTCATTCTATATATTGATTGTTTTTATCCTTATAACTTGAATTAAATGTGTAAATAGGAGAATAATGTGAAATTTTATCAAATAAAAAAGATATACGTATTTGAAATTTTCAATATAAAAAATATGAATTTTACAAGTTTTGATGTTATTTATATATTTATTATTTATTATTATATAAATTTTATTATTGTTCTAAATTATAATTTCTTAAAATAATGTGTTGACTTATATTATTAACTTCAAATATATATGTTGAATTATTGACAAACAAATGATAATCTTATTATTAAATTTATTGAAAATTTTGATTTAAAAAAATTATTTTTTTTAAATTATAGCATACCAAGATTTACAATTCGTCATGACTATAGTGGGGTAGTCCATCCCGTTTGTTTTTGGAGGGTCAAAGGTGGGGCGAACCAAAATGGGCAGACTGATCCGTTTTGTCATTCCTATATGACAGAGAACTGGATGAATGAAATGACTTCATACTTAAGAGAACACAAGACATCATCCACATGTAGTCACCTATTAGACTTGGTAGAGATTATTTCATTGTAGTTAAGTACAAATTCATAAACATTAATGCTGGAGGTGTCAACATGGATTGTAACCCATAAACCAACTTGGCTCACCACGGGTTTGAGCCGGGTTGAGTTCGATTTTTTTTTTATTTCTACCAATAATGGGTTAAAAATGAATCTGGTTCACTAACCCACAAGTTAAGCGGGTTCGAGCCGCGTTAAGGTGTGTTGACCCGCAACCCACCATTCATTTTAAATTTTAAAAATAATTATAATAATTTAGTAATCCTAGTTGATGTTTTTTTTTTCTTTCTACCTTTATTTCATGTTATCACTATAAGTGCAACTCTCACCCAAGCTTATCATCAATTATTCGTCGTGCAACTGTGTTCATTGTTGCACCTGGGTCACTTCTCATCCTTCTGCCGCACTACTACGTCACCGTGTTCATTACGTTGGTCGTATTTCAATTTCATATTTCAGTCGTGTCATAGTTTGTCATGTTAGCGTCACAACGTTTCAGTCTCGCATTTCAATCGCGCCACACCGTTTGTCACACCTCCACATTTGTTGCACCATTGCATTTATCGCGCCACCACGTCATTGTGTTTCAGTTGTACAATAGCGATGCGTTTCACTTGCATTACAATATTTTTTGTGTTACCGCATCATTGTGTTTCAGTTTCGTGATTCAGTCATGCTTATTAGAAAGAAAGAAAAAAACAAAACAAAAAAATTAATATTGGTTAGTAAGTCAACCCACCAACCCATAATGAACTGAGTTGGGTTGTGAAATTTTTGGTTTGTCATAAAGTGAGTCAGATTAAACTCATCTATTTTTAACTCTAACTCGTGGTGAACCAACCTATTTGAGCCGAGTTGGCTCACTTTGATACCCTAATTATCACTTTGATACTCCTAATTATCCTATAAGATATTCTTGGTAAGAAATTATATGAAAAAAAGAAAAAAATTAATATATTGATTATTTAAAATTAACTTATATATAAATTATTTTATAAAAGTTATTTTTAACATATTTAAATTTTTATTTTTAATTTATAGGAAAGTTAACTTAACATAACTTCTTATGGATAATTATTTTTCACACTTCTTTTCGGGTTTTTGTGATAACTTGTTGAAAATTAAAATGTACTCCTAAAAGTATTTGGAAAGAAGATTATTTTAAATCCTAGAATCGATACCTTTCTTTATCACCGTGGCATAAATAGGGTTGTGGTTAGCGAGGTTGAGTGGGACAGAGTCGCAATTTCCCGCATGTTTGGGATTGGATTAATTTTGGGCTTTTTAGCTGTTTTTTTTAATATAAAAAAGACACTTGGAAAGCAAGATATGTTTGGAACAAAGATTGGAATTTGTTAAAAAACATTTTCCCACTAAAAAATAAGTTGTTTTTATACATTCAAAATTCGAAGTACATGATTATTTCTTTCTAACTAACTTTTATATTTAAAGATATTTGTATTCTCTATATTTTGTGTAAAAGTTATATAATTTATATGAATAAAATATTTCAAAATATATTTCCTTTTTTAGAAAATTACATACATATATTTAAAATATAAAAATTTAATTAATAAAAATATTTAAAATTTTATCAATTTCAAGTATATTCCTTTTAAGTCCAAACACCTTATTTGTTCTTGTGTAAGCTAATGGTTCAAAATAAACATATTTACGAGCATTTGAAATATATTAATACTACACAAATTTATTTTAAAGTTGATACATCACCTCACATACATATTGGTCAACTATCATGTTATACATATATAAATACATTACATAATATCCATATAACTTTCAAAAGCCTGAATATTGAATTAGACCTATAGATAATTTCAATTATTAGTAAAGTTAGGATACTCATTGAATCCCCAATTGATCCATACATACTACATCACATAATACCTCATCATGTACTTATAGTTATACACATCTTAGTCGATTATAGATCACATCCCTACTCAACTTAGGCTCACATATACAAATATATCCTAGTCAATTATGAGTCACTCTCATGACTCAACTAATCATCAACAATATATCTTATTCTTAAGAACACACATCATCATATTATCTTATAATTCATCACAGATATGACATACATATATTGACATTATATGATAGTTCTTACATTACAATAATTTTTTTTATACATATAATAACTCTCAACACACCTCATTCAATATTCATAACATGTATTTTAACATCCAAAGTCATATAACAATTTATCACATTACAACAATAATATATATATATATATATATATATATATATATATTGACCTTTATTTACTATTTTGATCATAACTTTATTTGTAGATATCGGTTTTAACTAATTCTTGTTTCATTGAATTTTTTTTTATTTTTAGGGCTTCAATTTTCATATATAGAATTTGAAGTTATTTTTTATATTTTTTGAAGTTTAGACAAAAAACACACTAGAGAATTTTGTTTTAGCAAAAATACACATGAGAAAAGCCCTTATCTTTGCTACGCATTTCACTTCAGCAACAAGGTATTACTTGAGCAAAATATGTAGATAACGAGACATGCAAAACACATACCAAACAAATTTAGCCAGCAAGCACTATCCTTTGAGACTCTTAGTCCAATATAGTTATCATACCCTAATATTTTACACACATCTTTCTACACATCATTAATCTAATTCAAATTA